AAAGTAGTATGTTTTGGCCGTATCGAATCTTGTTATCATAGTCTTGTTATCACAGTCTTGTTATCATAGTCTTGTTATCACAGTCTTGTTATCACAGTCTTGTTATCACAGTCTTGTTATCACAGTCTTGTTATCACAGTCTTGTTATCACGAACTTGTTATCACGACCTGTTATCACAGCCTTGTTATCACAGTCTTGTTATCACAGTCTTGTTATCACAGTCTTGTTATCACAGTTTTGTTATCACAGTCTTGTTATCACGAACTTGTTATCACGAACCTGATATCACAGTCTTGTTATCACGATCTTGTTATCACGAACCTGTTATCACGATCTTGGTATCACGCTGTTATCACGCATGTGGCAGTTCACTACTGTGTCCGTCGAGCGGTGACGCTATACTAGCGCGGTTCCGCTGGTATCACTACTGGTATCACACGCGCGCGCGCGCGGACACACACACACACACACACACACACACACACACACACACACACACACACACACACACACACACACACACACACACACACACACACACACACACACACACACACACACACACACACACACACACACCACACACACACACACACACAGTGGGGACGGGTGATCATTAGCATATAAGGAAAGGTGCGCAACCCATCAGTTACCAGTTATCACTGCAAGACAGTCGGTGAACAAACATTTGTGCACACACACACACACACACACACACACACACACGCACGTACTGTCAAGGTAAGTCCGGGCACACAGCCAGAGCTTAGATGTATTAAGTCAAACAATATTGTCATTTACAGATGAGTCAAATCACAAAAGATTTCCTAAACGACCGCAGCGAGTTTGTGTTGGAATCGAGGAGGCGGCACATTACGGAGATTCAACCCTTTGTCCCATACAGAGTGATACGGTTCGAAACGGTCGTTACAAAGCACGATGCACGTACGCCCGCCGTAGAATTACGCTTGGGCGATAATCCACAACCCATACGTGTATACTTGCCAACCAGATTTAAAATGACCGACGAAGAACTACAGAAGCCGATAGATTCTAATCTATCAATGATCTACAGGGGGAAGAAGAACGGGTCCAACGTCCACGATGTCGTATTTTTATAATATTATGGGTAAGTGCAATAGTCAGGTAGCAGAAAAAAAAAAATAACTAATTGCCGTTGGCTATTGTACTCTACAGATAATGACGGACCGGTCGACCAGCATTACAACACACACGTCCGCGCACAAATATAAGTAGCAGTATGAGTAAATGGGAATACTATCAATAAAAAAAAAAAAAAAATGTATGTTTCGCTATTAATACCTAAATATATATATATATCAAGTAAATGAAATATGATCTTATTAGTATTATTACGATTGTAATGATAATGTAATCATAAAATAAATATTAACGAATATAAGTAGGAGTATGAGTAAATGTGAATACTGCCAATAAAAAAAAAAAATGTATGTTTTGCTATCTTATTAGTATTATTAATATTACGATTGTAATGATTATGTACACATAAACTAAATATTAACGAATATAAGTATCAGTATGAGTAAATGTGAATACTGTCAATAAAAAAAATGTATGTTTTGCTATTAATACCTAAATAAATATATATATCAAGTAAATGAAATATGATCTTATTAGTATTATTATTATTATTACGATTGTAATGATAATGTACACATAAAATAAATATTAACGAACACACACACACACACACACACACACACACACACACACACACACACACACACACACACACACACACACACACACACGCCTGAGTGTAATTATAATAATAATAGTGTTGAATACTAGCATCCATGTGTTGATCAGTTGTATTGACTAGACGGCCGCAAAGGCAGTGCACAAAGTAAAAAAAAAATATTAGCATTATTAGCTTATCTAACATACAGACACTATGCCGTAGGTATATATATATATATATATAATATTATGGGTATGTGCAATAATCAGTTAGCAGAATTGCCTAGACGGGCGCATGGACAGTGCACAAAGTAAAAAAAAAATAGTGGCAATATTAGCTTATCTAACATTACTAGTACATATGAATATTATAAACGAATAAAGGTAATATCGATAAATAACCAATTGATTGCATAGGTGTGTCAGTATAAATTAATTAAGAGCAAAGTATGGAAAAATTAATAGTGTGTTAACACACACACACACACACACACACACACACACACACACACACATACATACACATACACACACACACACACACACACACACACACACACACACACACACACACACACACACACACATCATGTAATTTATAACATTAGGATTATTATATATATATATATTAGTATTATATTTAATTTATTGGAATAAAAAAAAATACTACAAATAATATAATTACGGTTATTATTATTAGTATTATTATACAATGAGGGTACAAAAAAAATAGAATAAAAAAAAAAAAAATTGAATTGGTGATATCCAATCACCAATTCAATTCTTCGG